CTGGCGTAAACATTGCAGTATAAAAAGACAAGGGATTTAGGTAAGTAAACGACTGATTGTACACATCAGCATCAGCTTCACTTGCTGGCAGGCATGTAAGAAGTGTGAAATGGCAAACTATATTATGTAATGGCTAACTGAGATATTAAATATAGGCTAGAAGTCAAAGGAATGGCATCTTCCTCTGAAAATGCCTGTCTCATAAATGGATGTATTGAGGTTGGAGTACTATGTATCGAGGATATTACTCTCCAATCAGCAGATACCACTCCAACGATGAGGCCACTCAGCTTTTCACACATTATGCATTGGTCCTGTGCTAGATCACTCCTAAAATAGTAGATATAAATAGTTTCATTGGCGTCGCTATAGCATCTTTTTGCCCTTGCTAGTTATTGGAGGATGTTGCGGCTATCAATTTTGTGCGGTGGTGATTTACCAAACTTACTGATTACTGTAACCACAAACTCAACGATTAGATACATTGAAATTTGTTTATTTTGGCTAATAAAGCGATATTATTATGATCTTTGGAATTAAAGCCGAGGTTGCTAAAATGCAGATGCATGAGGCGTAATTTACGGTAATTGGCTAATGTTTACTTTTACTATTGCAGGAAGCACTGTGTGAAATGAACGATGAATTACAGGAAAATGCGCGTGATGTTGAACTCGAACTAAGAGAGTCTCTTGAGTCCGAACAAACTCGGCTAGCTGAGCTACAGCGTCGTATGGAAGCAGCTTGCGATAGCCTAGCTGAGCGCGATCAAACGTTATCACGGTTCCGTGATCTCGTTACTGATCTACAGACTCAACTAGCTTGTCTTCGAAAGACGCTTGCCGAAGAACGTCGCAGTCACCGTTTGCAGCCACTTCAGCTTGGTCGCCAGGATTTAGTCACTCCTGAAGAGACTGCGCTAATGACTAGCATGGACACAAGGGCTGCTTCTCTTTTAGACACAACTGGACTAGCTCAGGGTCTGGATGGTCAGACCACTTTCAAGGTAAGGCTTTCCTACATTTTGCCGTTCGAAAAATACAATTGTTTAACACTA